AGAGACCCATTATCTGATTCATCATACAAACATTCTAATTAGAGAACTGGAGATAGTTGCTCCAGAAATTCACGTACATGTCTATATGATAGAGCTATATGTATTTTATGGTCTTTGAGGGGAGGTTCATCAGGATCAACTATTTTTCAGCGTCTCAAGGCTCAGTCGTGGTGGATTTTTTGTAATTTCTTTCAATTATGGAATGTGGATCAACTATTTCAGCTTCTTGAGGCTTGGTTATGGTGGATTTTGCAAGTTCTTTCGTCTATGGAATGTGTACCTTGGTTCCCTTACTCTCAATGCCTTCTACTTAGCTTCTGCAATTCCCTTGAAATATAGCATGTGCTCTTTTGCTATCAACATTTGGGTGCTTATGCTTGTACCTGAGGCCAATTTGTATTTTGGGATTTGTATACTGACTTTTGTATGTCATATTTTACCCATACATTCCATTTGTTAGTTTAGCTTCTTGCTTATTTGCCTTCAAGTAGATTAGTTATCTTGTGGCACTATATTTACCGTTATTGAGTCAAGACGAGCGGTTTCTAAAATGCATGGACCTTAACAGTTTTATCTCTGATAAGGGTTTGGCAGTATTTCTTTCATTCTATTAGACTTCGTGATTTTTTTTTTTTTTTTCCCCTGTCCACTCATGCTCTGTTCATCTGTTTAAAAGTTGATCCGTGTCCTCCTTTATTCAGGTAAAAGAGATTTTAATCGAGGAGTCAAATGTCCAGCCTGTCAACAGCCCTGTCACAGTTTGTGGCGATATCCATGGACAATTTCATGATCTGATGAAACTTTTCCAGACTGGCGGTCATGTCCCAGAAACAAATTACATATTTATGGTAAAATAGTTTAAAGTGTTCACACCTATTTACACTTTCCATTTTATGTCTACTTCAATATATCTTTCTACTGGCAGGGAGATTTCGTTGATCGCGGTTATAATAGTTTAGAAGTTTTCACTATCCTTTTGCTTCTCAAAGCAAGGTACATGAAATTTCTGGTGTTGGTAATTCGCAGCAAATTTACTTGGTGCTAGTTTTACATTGTTCCTGTATGTTTTCAGATATCCTGCTAATATCACTCTCCTACGTGGAAATCATGAAAGCAGGCAATTAACTCAGGTAATCTATATAATTATTGTCACTTACTATTGTTGTGTATCCTGAGCTGGTTGTTGGCATGAACTCCACCTATCATTAAAATTAGATCATACATGATGAAGTATTTGCATACTGAATTGGATCGCAGAATATGATGTTCTCGCTACATTTTTTTGGTAGCATCCTCAAATATATTATGATGTATTTGACAAATCTCAGAATTTTGAAATCTAGTAACTTGGCCCACTTGGAGAAACCAGATAATGTTGGTTGCCACTGCCTTGCCTATTTGATAGTTATAAAATGTAACTGCGAATCCTATTTTTTTAATATGATTTTAAGCTGTTGCAATGATACTTTATCACTTGGGTTTAGTTATTATTAAATGCCGTAAATTCCTGGGACATTCCTGGATCTTAGAGATTTATTACTCCTTCGTATCTTACTATGATTTATAATGGTGATGAGATACTACTATGATTTCTTAGAATATGTTCGGCTAAGGTTAAGTCTGTAGTCCTGATGACTAATGGATCTCTACTTGCATGGCCTTGGTAGGTTTATGGATTTTATGATGAGTGCCAAAGAAAGTACGGGAACGCGAATGCTTGGCGATATTGCACCGATGTTTTTGACTACCTAACTCTGTCAGCAATTATTGATGGCACGGTGTGCATCCTTCTCTCTTTAGTACATTCTTGACTCTTTCCCATTGAGTCTTGTAGTTTTATAAGTTCTTTGGAATGTAAAGGGATAACTCATCCTCATCATTAGATCCCACTTTGTAGTAGATTTGTGACTTCCATTTTCTTCTTTTGTTGCCTTGTGTTAAAATGATACTGACCTTTTGAAATCCCAGGTACTGTGTGTGCATGGTGGCCTATCCCCAGATATTAGAACCATTGACCAGGTTAGATCATTTGATCTTCTTGCGTGAATATCTGGTTTTTGCATATTTATTAATGCTGACAATGATCCAATTTTATGTTATGGTAGACCCAAGGTAGGTAGTGCTTGCAATGCTTTTCAGAGGAGATATACTTAGTCTGACCATGGCATACATATATTGTTAGTTTTTTGCTTTCTTCATCCTAGAACGATTACCTCATAGTACAAGGGTGGAATATTCATTTTATTTTATGTGGAGCCTTTATTGGCATTTACTCATGGCTATTTGTAGTGCTTTTATACTTTTTTTTTTTTTTTAAACAAGTCATAAATGTGGCTTTATATTTTATTTTATTTTTTCTTTAGATTCGAGTTATTGAAAGGAACTGCGAGATCCCCCATGAAGGCCCCTTCTGTGACTTGATGTGGAGTGATCCTGAAGAGATTGAGACATGGGCTGTTAGTCCTAGAGGAGCAGGCTGGCTTTTCGGGTCCAGGGTTACCTCTGAGGTGAATCCATGAATTTACTATTTAGGATGATAGAGCTACTCCTTGTTTTATGACATTTGTCTTGTTTTAGCTAATATGAGGTTTTATTTCTTTTCCTGCAGTTCAACCATATTAACAAACTTGATCTAGTTTGTCGGGCACACCAACTTGTTCAAGAAGGTCTCAAGTACATGTTTCAAGATAAAGGACTTGTTACTGTAAGTTGCAAAAATCCTTGTCAGGGACTGCAACATAGTGTAATCGGGACAGAGATTAATTATCTTGACTTTGTTATAATTACCAAATTGTTGTTGTGTTTGTTTAACAATGCAGGTATGGTCTGCACCAAACTATTGTTATCGATGTGGAAATGTGGCATCGATATTAAGCTTCAATGAGAATATGGTATGCTTTTGTTTGACCTCTCTGTGTATATAGGTATTAGTTTCGACATAAATATCTTGATTGAATGTATTTTTATTTGTGGCATTAGGAGAGAGAGGTGAAGTTTTTCACGGAGACTGAAGAAAACAACCAGATGCGTGGACCGAGAACTGGAGTTCCGTATTTTCTCTGATTGAATTTGTTTCGTTGGAATGTGATTTTGATGCAGCTGTTACAGACTTTGTGCTGCTTTAAATTTTTTTTCTTTTTATATAGCTCTTGATATGTATCACCACCCTCAGTTGTTAGTAGGCTTTGTTGTCTTTCTTTTCCGGGTGTTACGAATTCATTGTTTAGACAAAAGTGGTATGCTAAAAAAACTCATTCCTTTCTCGTATATGTCACGAGGGTATTACTGTTCACCGCTCCCTATTACTAGTTACCGCCCTTTGACAGTTTTGCCTCTGATATTTTTTTTTAAAAAGTAAAAAAAAAAAAATATTTGTCCGGCCGCCGAAACCGGACGGCCCAAATGGCGTTTGGCCGGTCGGACCGGACACGATCGTGTCCGTACGCGACTTACGGCAGTACGGACCGGTCCTTGGGCCGATCGGACGATCGTTGGTTGTCCGGCCCCGAAGGCCGGTTGTGACCGGTCTGACCTGTCCGACTGGTCGGACACTTTTTTTTTTTTTAAATAATATTATTATAAATTGTTATGTTATATATTCAAAATAATTTGTTATAAATTAGACGTTAGAATAAAAATAAATCATTTAACTGAAGTTTAGGAAATAAAAAAAAAATCATTTAACTGAAGTTTAGGAAATTTATTACTATATAATACAGTTAAAAAAAAATTCAAAAAAAAAATAATTTATTTTCTCGCTCAAATGTTTATTTTCCTCCTAAAATTTTATTTGAAATATTTGGCTAACGTGCAATTTGGTATATCCTGCCCATGAAATTTGGTTTTGCGGATTAATTTCTTACGTGATTCCTAAAATCATGAGTTAATTCCATTTCTGATTCTTTAATTTGATTTAAATTTGAAAGCGATTTTTATATATCATGTCAATCCTAAAATCGTAGGTAGAATTTCGTTGGTGTAGAAATAATAATTAGACGAATGTTTGAGTTGTATGGAAATTTCTTAACATCTTTAACATGGATAAAAAAACTAAGATATATGTCAAAAAATGTTAAATACAATTAAATTTATCTATTCTTTTTTGTAAACACCTACGGTTTTATTTGCTATTTATTAAAAAATGTCTACATTAATATAAGTTGCAAGATCATTTTTAAAATTAAAGGATTTACATATTATGAAACAAATCGTTCTTTAAAATTTGAATGATTTTTATTGTAAATAATAAAAAAATAGGTTTAATTTAAAGTCTGAATTATTTTCATTATTTTTTGTACGTTAATAATCATATAATGGATAATTAATTTTAAAAAAAAAAATCAAAACCGTAAGGTTTAATAATATTCCTTAAATAAAAAATATTGTATAAAAAGAAGTGTTTAATAATATATATTTTTCATTGTTTGTATTTATTTTATTTTCATAATAGACGAGATGTGAAAAATATAAATAATTATATTTAAAATAAAGTCTAGAAAAGGTTTAAAATACGAGCTCCTACGTGCATCGCACGGGATATACACTAGTAAAAAAAAATCATTCAACCTAATGTTTTATAATAAAAAAAAAAACTCATTCAACTGAAGTTTAGCAAATAAAAAAAACCATTCAACTTAAAAATAAAAAAAAAATACAATTGATGCGATTTTCGATTGCTTTGTAACACGAACGTATGTTCCCACACTTCGAGACAAGCTCGTTCTCCTGAGTCGACCTGTCAAACTCTCAGGAGAACGAGCCTGTCTCGAAGCGTAGGTGTAACACCCCGCCTTTTTTAACTTTTACTTACGAAAAACTGAGTAAAATTTTCGCGTTTGTTTTTTAAAGATGCTGATACTGTTTTCGAAAAATACTTATACTTAACTAACTCACGGGATGTTACTTACTTAATAACTAACTTCTTACTCTTTTCTTTTATTTATGCATGTACCAAAATTGATATAAAATCCAGCTGAAGAATATGGATAAGAGAAAATTAAACATGCATGCATACTAGTTTAGGTTGGTAGTACGGAAGCGTAAATAAAATACAGTACAGTCTGAAAATTATATTATTATATGCCAACATAAACATAAACATAATTGAATGTCCAGCTGTCTTCGGACACCACCACACCACCGCTCGGCTCACGCTCCGACTGGACTCCGTCACATGAGAAAAACATAATGGGAGCGTGAGCAAAACCAATAGACTCCGGCTCACGTTTGTTTAGTGGATTTATTCAATTTATTATTATTATAATTTATAAGTATGATTATAATTAGTATAATTAATTCTAATTTATAATTATTATTATTATAATTAATTATAATTATTCTTTTAATTAATTATAATTTATAATTATTATTATTATTATTTTTATAATTTATAATTAACTATATATTATAATTAATAATTATTATTATTATTATAAAAAAAATTGTCCGGCCGGCTCGTGACCGGCCGGCGTGGCCGGTCCAGTTCGGTCCGTCCGGCCGCCGATCGCGTTTTCCGGTTTCCGGCCGCCGATCGCGACCGGCTGAGAAGCCGTGCGTCTGGCATGGCCGAACGACTTTTTTGCCGTCGGAAAGTGACGACCGGACGGCGCCGCTGCGTCCGGAAAAATTTTAAAAATATTTTAAAAGGAAAAAAAAAATTACCTTGCTAGAGAAGAATGCTTTGTCGATGCAGTAGGATTTTTTCGACATTTTTTCGGATTTTTTTGGACGCTCGAATGGCTCGTTGAAAGTGGGAGAATTTAGAGAGAGACTTTAGAGAGATAGCAGAAGGGCAAAAGAGTAAAAGGGGGCGGTGACTAGTAATGGGGGGCAGTAAATAGTAAATGAGTCACAATCTTTACCTATGATGATTATCCTTCTTAGTTTAGGAGCTTATTAATATTGTTATTATTATTAGGCTGAATTTTTAGGGTACTACTAATGTTGTGGTTATTGGCCTTTTCCAATGGCGTGGAAACTAGATTTGTTATGTCAATTTAAGCATATTAATAAAACCATGTAACGATTCTAATAATATTGAGAAAAAATTAATAATTGAGTATAAAAGTTACATGTTAAAATTTAATAATTATTAATTTAAAATTTCAAGTAAGTTGTTAAATGATATAATCCTGGCAGATGTATGAATTATGATGTATCTATGTTCTTTACGTGGGGTCTCTGAACAAATGAAAAACCATAAAATGTAGATGCCATTCAACAAAATCGAATATTTTTTATCGTAGACAATGGCAAAATACGAGTCTCCCAGGTGGAGTAGTTGTTTCTCTGTCTAGAGTGGAAATTACTCGTGTGAGGGTTGATTCTGTTAGAATCCTCTGAAAACCCTATCCCCAAATCACCCGCTTCCGCCGCGAGTCTTCTTCTCCCATCTCCGGGGTTCGCCTTCCTCGGCGAAATCGATGCTCTAACCGGTGGTCTACCTCAGCGGCTCGTCCCTCTCTTGGATTTGGTGCGTCTCCAACGGCCGGTGGTTCTCATCCCCGTCCGAGATGGTGGCTGCCCCGGTGGTTTCCCCTGTCCCGTTCGCGACGGTGACTGCTCCGGTGGTCCTCCTCTCTTCGTCTGTGATGGTTGCTGCTGGGATTCGTTCGGATTTCCCTTCTCCAGGTAAGAGCGGGAGTTTTTCGGTCGCCGGCTTCCTGTCTCTTCTCGGAAAGGCTCCGCTGCTGGCGGAGGTACTAGGTTGGAGCAGGGGACAAGGTTCAGGCAGCCGTGGCGCTCGCGTCGCGGTGGTCTGAGTGGGGGGCTGGCTTGCCCTTTTCTCCCCGGTTCTCATTTGTTGGGTTCGGGGGAGCCGACGCGGTTGTACTCGACTAGTGGTGTTAGGCGGGTGGGGCGGTGTTGGTCTCGGCTAGTGGTGTTAGCCGGTAGAGGGGTGTTGGCTTCCCACGGTGAGGGATGGATCCTTTTGGGGTTTGGTTCTAAGCTCGGTTTCAGCTTCAGCTAGGCTTTTAGGCAGTTTCGGTTGCGGTTACTGAGTCTGGGATCTCTCCCTGAAATTGATTGTTTCACTGCCGGTTGGACTCGTATTTTCTGCCGCGGAAGGGCTTGTTTAGGTTTTTATTTTTGTCAGTATTATGTTGTTTATGTTTGTTTAGTTTGTGTTTTGTGTTTTTGGTTTGGGCCGTTGGCCCCTGTGAGCCCGAGTGTCAAATTTATTATTCCGTTGGGGTTCGACACTAGGGTATTACCCTGTTGGGATCCTTGTAGTTATTGTAGTTGGTTGTGTTGTTGGTTAGTTTAGTTGTGAGTGTGTTTTTTTTATTCTAGCGTTGCTAGTCGGGATTCTAGGCGGGCTTTTGACCTGTCCTCCCACTTTTTCAGCTGTTGGCTGCTGTGTATTCAGCCGTTGGCTGCTGTGTTTTCGCACATTTGTGCTTTTTGATTTATAAAATTATCTATCGTTTCGGGAAAAAAAAAAAAGGGTTGATTCTGTGGTCGTTTATATCATTGATCTTTGTCATTTAGGGTTTTGCTATGCTTCAATTTGGGGTCTTTTCGGGTCTCTTTTTATCTCTTTATCTTTTTAGGTAGTGTTTCCCTTTGTTTAGAGTTATGTTGGTAGGGTTCTTTTGTTTTTTCTTGGTGTCTATTTCTTCTCTGTTTCTTGACTCTCTGTGTGAGCAGGGGTTTTGGTTTGTTGGCAGGTTTGGTTGGCAAGTACTTTTGATCTCTTATCATCTTCTGGAGGTTGATCTGGGGCTGGGATTGTGGAGAGGGGTTCCTTTCAGTCTTTGGCTATGGAGTTGATTGAGAAAATGCAAAAGTTTGACTTGTCGGAAGAGTAAAAATCAGGGATTGAACTAGAAAAAGAAGATGTGGTTCTAAGCTTTGAAGAATGTTCGAGGAGCCTGTTCGGGAAAGTTTATGGGGCGAAAAAGGTGAACTTCACGGGGCTTAAAAAAACTCTAACTTCGATCTGGCAGACAAGAGAACACTTTGCGATTAAAGAGATTGGTCAAAATTGCTTTCCGTTTGTTTTCAAAACTCGAAGTGATAAGGAAATGGTGAAAAAGGGGAGTCTATGGTCGTTTGATAATCAATATCTCTTACTGGAAGAGTGGTCAGAAGATGACCTTAATACTATTGCAGAGGCTCATTTGGTGGAAATGTGGGTGCAAGTTCAAAACGTACCTTGTCATTGGTTGACCACAGCTATAGGGTTCAAGATTGGGAGGGTGTTTAATGGAGTAAGAAATGTGCATATTCCAGAGACGGGGAGTATTCAGGGTCGACAAATAAGAATCAAAGTGGTGGTAGATGCTTGTAAA